TACAGACACTTTCAATTTTTACTTAGAAATAGAAAAATTCATTTATTATAAGAGACAAACGAAAATTTATTTGGAAAACACAAATATTTGTTTTATTTGGGTCTCTAATTAATTAATAAAAAGCGACGAAACACCATTTTAAAGTGCATTTTTATTCAAGTAATATATTTATAAATTTATAAATAATTATATTTTTATAAATAATACTAGCAGACCCTGCCACGCGTTGTTGTGGCTCAAAATGTATCTATTATAAATGTATAACACTTCCCCTGTAGGGGGGTAATTTTTCGAAAAATTTCTTCTTAGTGTACATTCTGTTGACGTACCATATTAAAACGCAATCAAAAACTCAAAAACCCGCATCTAAAATAATATAATAGAAGCCAAGTTCTTCACAGTAAGCCTTAATTCTGTCCCTCTGCCCCGCGGTGGAATATCGAAAAATCCTTTCTTAGTGTACATTCTGTTGACGTCCCCTATTAAAACGCAATCAAAAACGCAAAATCCTGCATCTAAAATAGTATAAATAGAAGCAGAGTTCTTTACCGTAAGCCTTAATCTTAACCATCTCCCTTCAGTGGGAGGAATTTCGACACGTATATTATATAAAAGCATGTGCGTATTCGAATGCAGTGTTGTGTCAAAATTTCAAAGGAATCGGCAGGAACAAACGAACATTACATTTTTATTTATATAGATAGATAGAAGATGATCTGCTTTAGTTCATTTTCACAGAAAAGCATAATGCCTCACAGAAAAGCAAACTTAGGGCGTCGTACTCGTAGCGCCATCTGTTGGACATAAAAGCCTTAACCTAGATTATATATTTTAATTTATATGAATGTTTAATGGAATAATATACAGCCTATGTCCACCCTGAGGTTCCATTCTAAATATTGGTGAAAGAATTTTTGAAATTGGATGAGTAGTTTCGGAAATTACATGCTGCAAAGAAAACTTACATACTTACATACATACATACATACATACATACATACATACATACATACATACATACATACATAACCTCTTTATAATATTAGTATAGATGTAGCCAAAAAGTAGCCAAAGCGCCAAATGATATTTTTACGTCAAACATAAAAAAGTAGCCACATTTGGCACCATGTAGCCAAATCTTGCAACGTTGAAAGAAATACTAAATAAAGCTGGAGTTGTGATTCAAAGGATTATAGACCCAAATGAGGGGGAAAGGAGAGAAAGGACAAAAGATAAAGAAGTGAGAAATATTGGAAAATTAAGGGTCAATATTTGCATAACAGAAGATCTATTTAACCTTTTTCACTACTTTTTATCTTTTGTCCTTTCTCACCTTTCCCTCCTTTTCCCAAATTTGGGTCTATAATCCTTTGAGTCACAACTCCAGCTTTATTTAGTAACCCTTCCTCATTCACGCATCTCCAAGTATTTGAAAATATTTCCTTTCCACTCAAAAATAAAATATGAATAAATGTTTACGGCTTTGTGAAACTTCTTTTTTGAGTTTATGCCGTTGAAATAAATAAATAATAAAAAAATTAAAACATTTGTCGGTTTTGTTTACACGTTTATTGAGCTGCAGTGGAACTTGCCTTGGGCGCATACGGGCTGCGGGTTGGACACCCCTGCTTTAGAAGTTAATCTAGTATCAAAAACATTCGATTCAGCATGACACAGTCTGATTGGAATGCTTTCGGTTAACTGATGTTTCGGTTGATCGACATTTGGATAATCAATACTCTACTGTAAATACATTTTTGCTAAAAAACAAAACCCTCAAAATTAATTTACACATCTAAATAAAAATAATTTCTAATTAATGCAATTATTATAAGAAATTAATGCAAAAATTTTGAATATTACTTTGTGTTATGAACCCTGATGTAAGTTTAAATTTTAAAACTATATTTTTATTTATTTAGTTGCCGTTTTATTTTTGGAGGTGATCAGGGTCGATTAAGATATGGTCCACCTGATGGACATTCACCTCTTGTGGAATGTCTTCAGCCTCAACAAATTTTGACTATCGAACCATGTTTTCAATTTGGAGAACTAAATAAAGGAGTAGTTTATGGACCTTCATTAGAAACTGATGATACGGCATTTGTTCCGCAACCAGTTGATACTGCAGGGGTGAGAATTGCTATGAATTTTCATATTTAATTGTTAAAATTATTTTTATTGTATTTAAAAAGAATAATCAAAGTTTAAATTGATTATTTTAAAAATTTTGAGATTTTAATAATAAGTATAGATTATTATCTGTTTATTAAATTAATTTTTACTGAATATTTAATCTAATGATGCTTTCCAAAATAATATTTATAATTTCTTTTATTAGACTCATTAAACATGAACATGGAAAAATTTTGTGGTCTGAATTAAATTTACATTTAGAATTTCAATTACAAAAATCTTTGTCTTCTCAATCCCTGTCTGTGGGAACCATGTTAGGTTTTTAACATTTTTCTTTCTATAGCCAGCTGGTTTGATTTCAGTCATTTGAGTAATCTGTTCTAGGCCATACTCTTCCTTGCAGTTTTCTCTAAACATCATCATCAAGAAATTTGGTATACCAGTTTGAATATTTTAAAAGACTTTCAGTTATATTATATTAAGCATTTTAGTTTTGATTCTATCTGTTAAATATATCACTGTTGCAGTTATGTGTTCACAGATTTCTCCTGTTGCAGATAGTTTTTTGTTTGTTAATTGATTTTTATTTCCTAACGTTATCTTGGGAAAATAAGATGAAAATAAGGCAATGAGTTTCTATTTTTGCTCCTCAAAAATAGTTGTTTAATTTATAAAATTTTGAAATTACTGTGAAGTTTTACTTTTAATTTATTTATTGATTTTTCTGTAATAATTTTTAATGTTAGTCAGTAGGAAAATTGTGAGTAGTTAAGTTTTACAGTATATAATATAAATTATATTGATGATGATTTTTTCAAATATACTATGGACTAGTATTGAGGCTTACTATACTATTTTAAAAATTTTTTTACTTGTATTAACTGAAATATAAAATTTATTTTGTGGAGAGTTAGAAAAATTTTTATCTTTCTTTACTTAAAAAAGGAGATACACAAATATCACATTTGTGATTGGTTAATAGTAAATATAGTAATAAATAACAGTAAATATTGTTAAGAAGATAGACATGATGTTCCGGGAGTCCTTGACACATTTTAAAAATTTCTAAGAATGCTATATGGGATAGAACTTAATGGTTACTGATTTCAGGAACTCAAAGTTTTTTTATGCAGTTAATTTACCTCAAAATTTCAAAATTTAATCTCTATTCATATATGTTCTTAAGTGGATTTTGTAACAGTTGCAATTGTTTTGTGCAAGAAAATGTTCATATTTTGAGGTAAGTTTCTGAAATCAGTAAACATCATGTTTTATCCCATGTAGTTTTTTTTAAATGTGTCAAAAACTTTTAGGACACACTGTATATTATTATAAAAATAAATTGAATTATTACAAAAACACATAATGAGAATCACAGATTAAAAGAAATTAAAATATTTTGTATTATTTTTTACAGATTACTTTACCTCCGTACATTGAGTCAATTCGTGATAAGTTGGCAGAAAATATTCATGAAGTTTGGGCAATGAATAAAATTAGTAGTGGCTGGTCATATGGAGAAGTAAGTATACTTTTAATTTTTGTTTAAAATATAAAATTATTTTCAATAATATTGAAATCTTAATTAAGATTATATATTTATTGTAGATTAGAGATGATATGATGAAAAGACATCCTTGTTTAACTTCATTTGAGAGATTACCATTAGCTGAGAAAAAATATGATACCACTCTAGCTTTACAGACTCTTAAGTAAGTAATTCAATGTTTTAATGATTGTTTTTCTGTTTTATATATATGGATATTGAATATTTTTTCATTTTGATACTTTTGCTTGAAACATTATTGCACTTAATTGATTTTATCATCATATTTTTTAAACTAATGTTCAATATATTATATCATATGAGTGAACTTAAAAGATTCAAAATATGATTGATCTTAGAAATATGAGTTCATGTACATATTAATGTAAAAGGAAAAATTTATTTAATACGTTTGGAATTTTCATATATCATTAATTTTGTAGAGAAAATAGGAATTAATTGTATTAATAGCATTTGCTTTAAATACCATATTTATTCTATTATAAACTGATGTTGATTGTAAGCTGACTCCAGAAAATTGAAAATGAAAATAAATAAAAAATGAAAATTTATTAATCAAGCATAAGGAATAAATTTTACACCATTTAATTGTTCAGTTACTGTCATCAGATGACTCAGGTTCATTGTCACTTGATTCTTTTTTGCTATCTTCCTACAGAGCAGCGTCATCTGTGTCATCAAGTGCACTTGAGATCAAACACTTTTTAAAATCACCAGTGATGACTTCTCTAGAAATACTTTTTCTGTGTGCAAAATTTGCAGAAACATGCATACAAAATTCGTAGAAACTTATCTGTGGTGGCTTCTGGTGATATTTTTCCAAACTTTCAACTATATCAGTAAAGGGCATCACCTACTTTATCAATCATATTAATGATACTGATTCTAAGCCAAGGAAAATTTTTTTTGAACCATGAAAAAAATAAAAAAGGTTATCTTGTAATCAGGTAAATACAGTAATGTTAAAAGAAATTCATTTTGATTTATAATATCAAAGCATTATTTTGTTTATAAATGCATTTTAAATTTCATATATAAATTTTAAGTTCTGAGCTTTAACTTGAGGTAACTTTTGAATGTATGCCAGTAATATTTGTGCATAATATGAATGCCTTCTCAGTTACACCATACAGACTTCAAGTTGAAATTTCTTTTCATATGTATTTTTCAGGTTTTTCAAGTTGAAATTTCTTCATTTTAAGCTTATATATTTGTAATAGTTGTTAATAACCTGGTTAGTTGTGGGCTTTATTACTCATAGATTTTCTAAGTAATATTCAATTAATAATTTATACATGGTAAAAATATGTATATATAAATATAACAGCATAATTCTTTAGATAGTCAAATAATAATAATTATGTCAAAAATTTCTAGATTAATTTTAATGTAATTACAGTAGAGCATTGATTATCCGACTCAATTGGGGACTGGGGTTGGTCGGATAACTGAAAAAACAGATAACCGAAAAGTATGAAAAAATACATTATTAGTATAGTATATTAGTATATTTCATGTAATTAGTATATCGCTATAAACCTACTTCGCGTTGAATTTTTATCGATGTTAAACCTAACAAAACTTTTTAAAATAATAATCCCTATCATTAAAAATTATTTTAAAATTATTTTATTGCTCACAAAACAAACAACCACTTATAAATAGAAAATTAAGCCTCGTTTAAATACCCTTTCATGGTTGAGCCAGTGTTGCCAGCTAAAACACGTAAAAATTTAACAAAAATAATATTAAAGTAGCCAAGACATAGCCAAATATTGTAGCGCCACTTCACTAGCGGACATTTGAAATTTGCCGACTAGAACGGTCGGTTAATCGATGTGACGGTTGATCGGGGGTCGGATAATTAATGCTCTACTGTAATTTAATTAATGATTTATGAATTTGAACTGTAGATTTTTACTTGTTGTACCTATAGTAAATAGTATCATAATAATAATTAGTAGATTATATTAATTTTATTAAATATTATGATAACTGTTATTATTATATGATAGTCTAAAAATTAATATTTTTGTCTGTTACATTGGATTAATATATTTGTCTAAGTTTTGCTAGGAGACTAGAGAATACAACTGGACATGCAATATATTTGCATGTTATGACAGTTGCAAGTCTGAATTCCTGTTTGAGTAGATTTTTTTTCTTATTGTATCAAAATTTGATTACATTAATTCAAACTTATTAATCATCCTTAGCATCATAATATGACATGTTTATATTATTCAAATTTATAGGTCTTTAATTAATTTAATGAGCTTAATTTTAATAGAGATTCTCAGCGTACTTATTAATATATGATGATTGATCATTTAGATTATGCTTTTTAAATTTTATTTATATTGTAACAAAACAATAACAGCACAGCTTAGACAAAATACTTTAATCTCTTTACAAGAATGTAATACACAGCTAACAACTATAGAATAGCTTGATACCAAAACTGATGAAATAATACAAAAATAAAGGAACTAAATTAAATAACAAGATATACATAATAACTTGATTTTGAATTATGTTGTGTGGCCTCTGTTCATTGGCTAAGAGCCAAGATGATGGAAGTCCATTTAATTATAATAGTAAAGTTATTTAAAGAAAAAAGTTTATGCTGTTACATTTGATAAATTATTTATTTATCTAAGATTTAATTTTGTCATTTAATAAAGCTTTTCTAATAATCTAAAAATTCTTGATTGGGATTATAGAAATTTCAAAAATGTATAATTCAGAATATAAATGTTATAAATAATTTTGTGTAAATATGAATTTTTGCATTGTTCTCATAATTTCAAATTATTTTTTGTTTAGAACAATTATGGCTATTGGATATCATATTACAGTTGACAAACCACCTGCAAGAATAAAGACTATAAAATTACATAATGAGTAAGTTTTGTTTGTGAAACTTTCCAAATAATTATCCAATATTAAATAGAAATATTTAATTTTGTTCTTCAGATATATACAAAGATTCATTTTTAAAATAATTTTTAAATAAGTGTAATTCTATATATTAATGTTATTAAAATATTAAAATATATTAAAATTTATACTGTTAAATTTATAGAATTCAAAAATTTACATGCATGAAATTTACTATTTAATTGATTAAGATGTGCAATAGAATATTAAAGATTATTTAAACAAAATTATACATAACCTCCAAATTTATAGGATATTATTTTTTTATAATTATATTAATTATAATATAATTATTATAATTATTAATTACAGTGGATGATCTGTTAACAAACAAATCAGATAACACTTTCGCGAAAGATTTTTATGTTCGGACAACAAACACATGATTGGATAATGAACACCTCACAGAACAAACTTAAGTAAAAGTGACATAAAATAATGAATACTGATTGGTCTTCCCTTGTCTTCGGACAACAATTCGAAACTTTTTGGAGTGCGGGAGATGTCGACATTGACGCTCAACCTGGTATACAAGGTCTGTTCAAAAAATACACGGACTGTTTGAATTGCGTGGCTCCAGTTGGTTCCAGGGGAATCCGCTTGGTGTCGCTAGGTTTGTACAGATCATCTGGTGATAAAGCCGTTTCCCGATTACAGATATCTTTATTTGTTGATTAGCTATGCAGTTTCTAGTGAAGTGCGATTTTTTTGTTTGTTGGATTTCAGAATGAATGACCTGATGGAGCAGCGACTTGCTGTGAAATTTTGTGTTAAACTTGGAAAATCTGCGACTGAAACATTTGCTATGCTCAACACAGCATACGGTGATGTTGCTATGAAGCGTATGGCATGTTTAAAGTGGTCCCCCAGACCAAAAAAAGCTCATCAAGTTCAAGCCAATGTCAAGGTGATGCTGACAGTTTTCTTTGATGCTAAGGGTGTTGTTCACCACGAGTACCTCCCCCAAGGCTCTACAGTGAACCAGACTTACTACATTGAAGTTCTGAAATGTCTGAGGGACACCATCCGTCACAAAAGGCCAGAAATGTGGAGGAGTGGCAACTGGTTTCTCCATCACGACAATGCTCCAGCCCATTTAGCCCTCAGAACTCGCGAGTTTTTGACCAAACACTTGATCACTATTCTTCTCCACCTCCTACTCACCTGACTGTGCTCCTTGTGACTTTTTCTTGTTTCCCAAACTCAAAAGACTCTTGAAAGGAAGAAGATTTGAGACGATTCCCAAGATTAAGACAAATGTGACGAAGGTGCTGAAGGACATTACAAAAGAAGCGTACCAGGACTGTTTCAATAAGTGGAAACATCATTGGGATAAGTGTGTGCATTGGGAAGGAGAGTACTTTGAAGGGACCCAGACATGTAACTTCTGCATAAAGTACATTTTGTTTTATGACGTCAGTCTGCATATTTTTTGAACAGACCTTGTATACTGATTGGATAGTATTCCTCTAAACTTTGAAACTCTCCCTTGTAATAACAGCCTGTTATTTTTCTGACATAAACAATTCTTTTATAGTATTCGTGAGACTGTTGGGCGGGCACTCGTTAAGTTTTGCATTGGTTTTTATTTTCAAAAGATGAGAGTATAATAGCAAAGGTAGAGAGTGGGCAGAAGATGTCTGATGTTGCTGGGCAGTATGGCTTGAATAGGTCTACAGTAGGCCGCAGTTTAATCTTATCTAAGAAAGATACAGTATAATCAAGAAGACTCAAGCAGCTTAAGGAGTAACAAAAATCACATCTGAGAAATAAAGAACATTGAAGAGCTCATAATGGAACCTGAAATGGATCTGAGACAGAAGAATGCCAAGAACTCTTGAATGAAGAACACCAAAAAACTTGGCAAGATATGTTTTATTCTGAAAAAGAGAATTAATATCGATATCTGCTATTAAACATTTTTTTGAAGAAGTGGGATGATGTCAGAAGGACGGTCTTAGAATGGCATTTAAACCAGGTTGAGGTTAATAGGCTTGGGGATCTCTACAATTACAATGTTATTAATTACTTCTGAAAAATCTTGAAGAGAGAAAAGCAATCAACATTAGACAGATTCTTTAACCCCCACAAACGAAAAAAACATGACTTATAAAAATGCAAGACTGTGTATTTATGTATTTTTATTATTACATATAAATAAACGTAATAAGAAAGAATATATTTTTTATTTTTTGGTGCCTCCGGAATGAATTAATCAAATTCTCTTAAAAACCTAAGGTAAATTGATAATCAGTTAATGAACAATTTGGATAGCGAACAAAGTCTTGGAATAGATTATGTTCGTTAACCGATCATCCACTGTATAATATTTGGAACAATATTATATTATAATAGTTTCTGAGCACTTAATATTTTACATTATATTTTATTTTCTAGTTTGCAATTTAATTCATTTATCTATATATGATAAGTAACAATATTTTAATGAAGTATTATTTTGTATGTGTGGAAACCGTGTCTTCTTTTTATTGTTTGGTTCAATGTCATGACTGGGTGAATTCATAGACACTTGGTAATTTTCATCATCAACTTTTTATTTCAGAACTTTATTTGTCAAGACACGTTTTAGGCTTTAGCTGTCTTCGGCCGGATTTTAAACAGAAGAAAAGGAGTTTCAATTTTTCTTTTGTTTAAAATCCAACTGAAGAAGGGCCAAAGCCCGAAATGCATCTCGACAAATAAAGTTCTGAAATAAAAAGTTGGCAATGAAAATTGTCAAGTGTCTATGAATTCACCCAGTCGTGACATTGAACAAAAAAAAAAAGTATTTTTTTATTTATCACATACTGTGTTTAAATTCTGAATTCAATGATTTTGCTGGTTTACATGTTATTTGTTTATCATAACATTTAAATAAGTAATGAATGAATATATTTTACACAGTAATCTTTGTTTATATGAATAATTGGTTCCATGAAAACAGCATGTAAATGAAAGTTGTGTAAATGGAGAGATGGAAAGCTACTTATCAGAGGAATCTATTCCATATTCTTAAAAACTTCAAATATACTTTAGATAGTATACGAAGGGCCAATAATGATTAAAAATACTTGACCTATAAAATGGCAACTACATAGAAATTGTTACAAATGATAAAGTAAAATAATTCAATTTCCAACTATTGCTGAAATTCCATCAGAAGTAGCCAATTTGCAATATTTTGCTCAATCTGGCAGCTATGCTACACAATTATAGATAAAGTTATGGAATCAATTAAATTGGAGAACTTCCAAATTTCTATAAAAGTTATTTCTATGTAAAGTTGATTTACTTTAATGCATTTAACCCCTAAAAATTTTTAATATATGTATTATGGTGAGATCTGGTATCTAATTATTTAAAATTTAAAAAATTTTCAATCATGTTAAAGTGAATTCACATAAATGGAAACCATATAAATGGAGGGATTATTGTATTTTAAAAATCTTTAAGATAATGAAAAGTGAATGAAAGAATTGAATACAACATTTGCATTAATTTTCTTCAGAATCTAAAACTAATAAAAAAATTATCTAACTTAGTTATCTAACTTCAATGTAATTTAAGCTAATTTTTTGAGTGTTTTGATTAAGATATTAAATAAATTTGACCTTAAAGTAGGCACATTTTGCTATATTGCATAAATATTAATGATTAAATTAATTTAAGTCAAATAGTTTAAAAATAAATGTAATAAAAGAGAATTTCTATGATGGTACAAATGATTAAAGTGATACTAATTTTTATCAACAAATTTTCATTAGATTAAATAGTATAAATATTAACTTGGATTTGTAGATATGTTTCTTGAATTTCAGAGTTCATTCAAATATAATTCACTTTCACTATTTCTAAAAAATGGAATTCAATAGAATGATGTCAAGTGATTTAGAGTTTTAAGATTAAACTGTCTTGTCTAATCCTTAATAAATGTTAAAAAATGAATGTGTCTGTTTCTTGTAAGATGACATTTACTTGTTGACAATCTTATTTCAATGAAATGTCTAATCCTTAATAAATGTTAAAAAATGAATGTGTCTGTTTCTTGTAAGATGACATTTACTTGTTGACAATCTTATTTCAATGAAATTGTGTTCTATGATATTAAAATAAGATATTTTGTTACAGGAATATTAGAAGAAAGGTGACTTAGATTTAAAAAAATTAGATTATTAAATTAAAAATCTATATATCTAATGCCAATCATAATATACTTTAAAAAGAAAAGCTGTCATTAGAATATAAACAACTTTATGCTGTGTAAAAAAGGGCTGACGGAAATAACAATTTAATAAAGTAAACATTACATTACAGATACTAAACATATGTTCATTGCTCGCCATGTCCAATCACCAGGAACAAAGAAATGTTATATTTTTAATTTTCTTGGGATTATCACCTGTGGACATTTTAGACTGTTTTATATATTTGTGCAGAGTAGTAGCCTACAAAGAAAGGTCATCTCTGCAGTGAAGAATAGTTGCTCCTTGTGATTGGACATGGTGAGCAATGAAGATATGTTTAGTATCTGTAATGTAATTTTTACTTTATTAAAAAACTTTATGCTGTCTTTGCTTTATACTTTAAAATACTGCTCAACTTTATGAAGCTATTTGATGGACCTGGATTTTCAAATCTTTCTATAAGCACATTGTAATGAATGACTTTTTTGTCCAAATATACAAAATACCTTGTCTATAAAGATATTTCATATAAATCAGGTTTGAGATTAATACAATTAGCATACACCAGTGTTCTGAAATATTGCACATTTGCTCAATTTATATGAATCAACAGAATTTTAATAATATAGGTGTAATCTAATCTATGATAAAGATAATATATTAATGATGAGTAGAGAAGAAATATAGAAGAAAAAGAACTTCAAAGCTTTGTTTACCGCAATTTATTCTTTTATGACAGACATATATAATACAATGTTTGAAAATGTAGAAACCTGTTGTGAGGATATGCTTGAAGAATTAAGAACAGAAAATAATCTAGATAAAATATTCTTGAAAACAGGATATGAATGCATTAATGTATATGTTGTATTTATTAATATTTTGCAACTTTGTCTTAGGAACATTTTGAATTCTCTCTGGCCTGCTGTCAATAAGGCTTTGAATAACATCATGACTAATGTTATGATGTCATACATGAACAGTCATTTCTTCAACTCCTGTTCCATTGAAAGCTGTGCTTTTTGAACTTAAGAGCCATGAAATGTCATACATTTTCAATTGGGTTGAGATCTGGTGAATTTTCAGCTCAATTCAGTATTGCGAAATAGATCAATCTCTGTGATAAACATATTATATATTTATTATTTAATATATTTTCAGTTTGAAATTATTTTTAATTGATAAGAATTTTTTATGAAAGTGTTCTTAATTTTATATTACTTTCAGTAATAAAAGAGAATTTCTATGATGGTACAAATGATTAAAGTGATACTAATTTTTATCAACAAATTTTCATTAGATTAAATAGTATAAATATTAACTTGGATTTGTAGATATGTTTCTTGAATTTCAGAGTTCATTCAAATATAATTCACTTTCACTATTTCTAAAAAATGGAATTCAATAGAATGATGTCANCTTCTTAGTGTACATTCTGTTGACGTACCCTATTAAAACGCAATCAAAAACGCAAAAACCCTCATCTAAAATAGTATAATAGAAGCCAAGTTCTTCACAGTAAGCCTTAATCTTGTCTCTCTCCCCCGCAAGGGGAATATCGAAAAATTTCTTCTTAGTGTACATTCTGTTGACATACCCTATTAAAACGCAAAAACCCACATCTAAAATAGTATAAATAGAAGCAGAGTTCTTTACCGTAAGCCTTAATCCTAACCATCTCCCTTCAGTGGGGTTGAATTTTGACATGTATATTATAGATATATAAAAACGTGTGTATTCGAATGCAGCGTTGTGTCAAAATTTCAAAGGAATCAGTAGGAACAAACGAACATTACATTTTTATTTATATAAATAGATAGAAGATGATCTGCTTTAGTTCATTTTCACAGAAAAGCAAACTTAGGGCATCGTACTCATAGCGCCATCTGTTGGACATAAAAGCCTTAACTATAGATGATATCATTTAATTTATATGAATGTTTAACGGAATAATATACAGCCTATGTCCACCCTGAAGTTCCATTTTAAATATTGGTGAAAGAATTTTTGAAATTGGATGAGTAGTTTCGGAGATTACCTGCTATATCCAAACTTACATACTTACTTACAAACATTACCTCTTTATAATATTAGTATAGATAATACAAATTGCATAAATTAATTCATTTTCACTTTTCAGTCCTTATTTACAATCAAATGGATATAAACCAGCTCCACTTGATCTTAGTCAAATTAGTTTAAATCAAAAAATGGATGAACTTGTTGATCTTCTGGCTGAAAATACTCATAATGTTTGGGCAAGAGAACGTATTCATCAGGGATGGACTTATGGATTAAATGAGGTTTGTTTTATCAATTAATAAAGTAAAAAGAAAAATTATATAGTTTAAAATGAAAATCATTCACACACTAAAAATATTTCAATGATTCTTATACAAGAATGATATATTGAGTTTTACTGAATTTTCCAATATTAATGTGCACAAAATTCTATCAAATAAATTTATAAGGATAATTTTGTAAGATTATTCTTATGAAATAAAAATTTAAACAATAAAATTAACAATTTTTTATTATTTGTTTAATAGTTCTGATAAAAATATGTTAATATACTAAAAATATATAAAATTATCTTAAACATTGNCTGGAGCATTGTCCAAGAGAAGAAGTGCCTTGGGTGGTAATTTATTTTCTTCACAAAAGTGAAGCACAGTAAGGTAAAAATAACTTGTGTATCAATCTGTGAAAACATCTTGTGTGACCCAAGCTTTCTTGTTCCATTTCCAATAAACTGGCAACATGTCTTTATTTAGACTTTTTAAAGCATATGGTGTCTGTGAATGATACACTAACATCAGTTTAAGTTTAAAAGTTCAAAGAAGTTGAATATTGTCTTTTTTAACAGCCAGTGTTTTATTGGATTGAATGCACCTTTTAAAAAAATAATGAACATACTTTTTTCATTTGGTTATGCTTTGTATACTGCTTAAATATTCATAAAACAGAATTCTTTCTATAGTTTCATTTACTCTAAAAATAGATTTTCATTAATATTTAATAGATTTTTTATTGTATCTGTAAATATTAGTATACTTTGTTCTTCTTGAATTAAACATTAGTGCAAGTGTGTTTATATGTCATGATTGCAAGTTTTTCCTGTACCATATATACTCTGATGTAAAAAAATCAATGCATTTTAAAGCTAAAATGCAATAATTCAAATTTTGCACATGGAATGATAAAAAAAAAATAAACAATTTATTCTATAATATATTGCAAGGATACATCATTAAAAACAGTTTTATCATAAATGTTACAAATCCAAAAAATAGCAAATACAGTCTGGCAATTAATACAAACTGACTAATGTCAGAGATAGTTTTATAACTTACATGCAATATTTGTGATAAGTTGTTATTTTGTAATCTGTGCTATATAATATTGTAATAAATTTTCTATTTTTTACTATCATTCCATGAGCAAAATTTGATTACTGGCTTTAGGATGCATGAATTTTTTGCAACAGAGGGTATTTGAAACATCAACAGCATGTAATTCATTGCCTAATGAATGAGAATATACATCTAATTTTTATGTATATTAAATATATAAAATTTTATATATTTAAGGGTAGATATTGCATTATGTTTTCTTTTAATATGTAAATTAATTCTTTGGAATAGCCAATGTTGTCTATACATTTAACTGACTTTTTGAGTATGAATAATATTGTGATATCTATCCAATCTTTACTATTTGTTTTATTGAAAATTTTCCAATACTTGTACAGTACATGTGATAATGTTACATGGCTTCCATATTTACCATGTAATACAGGTAGCTCTCGGTTTATGCCGCAGTTCCATTCCTACAAAAGCTGGCACAAATGGAATTGATGTAAAATGCACCCATATTTACAGTGAGGTATAGAGTTAGGTTCTACATAAATGAAAAATAAGCAAATAATTTTGTTTATTAATACAATATAATACAAAATACATTACATTTTATGATAAAATAANAAAATAAACAATTTATTCTATAATATATTGCAAGGATACATCATTAAAAACAGTTTTATCATAAATGTTACAAATCCAAAAAATAGCAAATACAGTCTGGCAATTAATACAAACTGACTAATGTCAGAGATAGTTTTATAACTTACATGCAATATTTGTGATAAGTTGTTATTTTGTAATCTGTGCTATATAATATTGTAATAAATTTTCTATTTTTTACTATCATTCCATGAGCAAAATTTGATTACTGGCTTTAGGATGCATGAATTTTTTGCAACAGAGGGTATTTGAAACATCAACAGCATGTAATTCATTGCCTAATGAATGAGAATATACATCTAATTTTTATGTATATTAAATATATAAAATTTTATATATTTAAGGGTAGATATTGCATTATGTTTTCTTTTAATATGTAAATTAATTCTTTGGAATAGCCAATGTTGTCTATACATTTAACTGACTTTTTGAGTATGAATAATATTGTGATATCTATCCAATCTTTACTATTTGTTTTATTGAAAATTTTCCAATACTTGTACAGTACATGTGATAATGTTACATGGCTTCCATATTTACCATGTAATACAGGTAGCTCTCGGTTTATGCCGCAGTTCCATTCCTACAAAAGCTGGCACAAATGGAATTGATGTAAAATGCACCCATATTTACAGTGAGGTATAGAGTTAGGTTCTACATAAATGAAAAATAAGCAAATAATTTTGTTTATTAATACAATATAATACAAAATACATATATTATAAATTTAATTTTTAAAATGTATTTTATGATAAAATAAAGTGAAATGTTTTTATTAAAAAATCTTAAGAAAAAGAAATGATATTACAAAGTTTCAGATCTCTTACATTCTTACATTTTTCAGAAAAAATTATCCATCTTTAATTGTTTAGAATTTTGTTTTTTTTTCATTAAGAATTTCGGAATATGATTGAATGGATTTGATGATGCTCCTTTTTACATTTGCACTTTGCTCTCAATTGTTGTCTAACTCACAAAGTTCATCCGTCAAACTTTCCATAGTTGAAAGGATACGCTTTAGATCAGCTGTTTTCATAACTCTTGGAGTTTTTTCTTTGTTTTCTTCCTTCTCTGATTGTTCACGATCTAATTTTTTGTATAATTCTTCTAAGTCTTCATTTGAGAGTGGCTGATCATGGGCTTCTAAAAGTTCTATCACATCTTCAGCTGTAACATCTTCCAATCCCACATCACATGAAACTCTGGTAATGTCTTCAATTAAATTCTCCAGATATGCTACTTCAAAATCTTGCATAAATGCTGGCAGAAGTTTATGCCAAACTCCACTCAAGCAGTTTGCTGAACCTTCATGCCAACTTGATGTTTTTAATGTTTTTTCAAAATATTGAAAGACCACCAATAGTCTTTAACTGTTTTGTCTGAATTGTTTAAAATGCTCATCATTTCCATGAATCTATTACAGAGGTAATAAGCTTTGAAGGTTGCAATAACCCCCTGATTCATTTGTTGCAAAAGAGATGTATTGTGAAGCATGTAAACAACCTTGACATCCAATGGTGTTCTTATTTCATCAAGGTTTTGAGGATGTCCTGGAGCATTGTTCAAGAGAAGAAGTGCCTTGGGTGGTAATTTATTTTCTTCACAAAAGTGAAGCACAGTAAGGTAAAAATAACTTGTGTATCAATCTGTGAAAACATCTTGTGTGACCCAAGCTTTCTTGTTCCATTTCCAATAAACTGGCAACATGTCTTTATTTAGACTTTTTAAAGCATATGGTGTCTGTGAATGATACACTAACATCAGTTTAAGTTTAAAAGTTCCTGAAACATTGGCTCCCAACAAAAAGTTAATCTATCTTTTGCAACTTTAAAACCTGATGAACGTTCTTCATGAGAAATAAAAGTTTGCGTTGGTAACTTTTTCCAATAAGGCGCAGTCTCATCAATGTTAAAGATTAGGTCTGGAGAATGGTTGCTTTGTTCTACATAACCCTGAAATTCCTTAGGAAAAGCAGCAGCCGCCACAACATCTGCACTTGCTGCTTCACCACATAATTTTACACTACGATAGTTACTTTGGGATTTAAATCTCATACACCAAACCTTGCTTCCCAAAAAAGTTTCTTTGCTCCATCTGTCTCCTTAACTCCTTGCATACACAGACATTTTTGATATTAATGTAATTAAGCATAAAAAATACTTAAAACTGAAAAAAAACGAAAGAAATGCGTTAATTTTGAAGAAAAAGCTTCAAATTTTATTTTCCTTTGTCTCGCCTTTCTGTGAAATCTGACGCTGATGAGCCATTGTTTACACAGCTGGATGACCTTGAACACAGCTGGAGTTGGATTTCCCGGGACATTCTCATAGAAGTCTCAGGAGGCAATGGGTTTATAGTAGGGTGAATACTAGCTGGCCGTATATTTTTAAATATTTTTTAAAGAATTACGTTTTTTATTGCGATTTCCGACCCCCCCGACTTAATTAAACGTATATATAATAAAATCTATTAATTAAAAAAATTAAAAAACTATCGGAGGCCGTTTTTGACATCAGAAACTAGCTTTAAATAACTTTACCGAAGGAAAATCTGTGCACTACAACTTTAGAATGATGAATGAAATATGACATCAAACGTCCATTAAAAAACTATTAAAAAGCAATTAAGCGTGAAGCGTGCGTCATTAAAGGTAAATTAAAATCGCGATAAAATTTTTTCGCACTGGAAAAAAATTTTGAAAAAATTTGGAGACAAAAAAAACATTCCAAAAATTCAAAAAAAAAAAAAAAAAAATTTTCAAAAATGGCCTTAAGGACTGCGTTTTATGTAACGCTATGTAACTTGCTCGAGATATCTTGGGATATCCCTCCTTTATTCTTGTATATGTGGGTACCTAAGCATTTAGTATTTTAATATTAATTTAATGCAAATGTATACATACCCAACAATATTAAACAGAAAAAATAAATACAGTAGAGCGTCGATTTTCCGAATCAATTGGGGACTGGGGTTGTTTATATAACTGATATTTCGGATAACCGATTTATGTACGAAAAAATAGTTTAACGTATCCGATGTTAAAATTTTTATCCGTTGCGTGTCGCTTCGTGTTGAATTTTCGTCGATGTTAAGCCTATTGTATGTTAAGCCTATTGGATGTTAAGCCTATTGTCGATGAAGACTATTGTATCGTTAAAAATTATTTTTTTATTTTGTACAAACAAAATAAATATATTGAAAAATATAAAAACAATAAAAAATTATACTTCAGAAGTTAATTTAGTATCAAAAACGTAAAATATTTGAGTAGCCCAAGACATAGCCAAAGATTGAAGCGCCACAGCACTGGCGAAAATTTAAATTTGCAGACTGGAATTCTTTCAGATGATTGACGTTTCGCATGATTGACTTTCGGAAAATCGACGCTCTACTGTATATCCAATAAAAATATTTGTTTTAACAAATATACAATGTCATGGCTCAGTAAATATGTCAACACTGAACATTTTTTTTTTTCGAAAATCAGTCCAGCATAGGGCAAATTGGGGAATTACATGGCAGAATAGTGAATTGCACATCAGCGTTATTGTGAATCGGTGTTGGCATAAACCGAAGGCTACTGTGAATTGTGCAGCGGTATTATTGTGAATAGGTGTAAATTGAGCCGGCGTAAACCGAGGGCTACCTGTATAGCAATTAGAACAAGCAAATTGCAATCAAACTCTATTTATATATTTTTCAAGGGAATGAGAAAAAATATCATATAAGTGAGAAAAATATAAAAATGAAACTATTTCTGAATTTACTTTTCAGAGTGAATCTAGTTATCACAATAGTATGGTATAACACAAATTATCACTGTAAAACTGAATTTGTACATATAAAATCTTAACAAAGAAGTTTACTTTACTATATGTATAATACATTTGAACAACATATAAAAGTAAACTAAAACAGTGTGAAATCGTCATGTACTTTTAAAAGATTAAAAGTTTTATTTATTTTTTGTTTCTTTGATGGATTTGTCGTATACTGATACAGTACTTACTTGGATATATTGAACTTGCATTAAATAACTACACCATGATAGAAATCTTAAAATGGAGTTATATTATTAATTTTCAAACATTTTTGGATTTTTTTTTATTGACTTTTAGGATAAAATGGCAATCAAATGACTGCTTTTGTTCAAAACAATGGAACATAAACATATTTCTGATGAATATAATTAAATCTATACTTTAGATATGGATATTGATTTATAAATGCTGCATGTGGATACTGATTTATAGGACAATCCATTAATTACAAAGACTATAACATGTTTTTCTATGTATAATGTCCTTTTAATCCAAAGAATTTTTCTTGGTAGACGGACGATCTTACAGCATTTTGGTTAGAAAATTACAGTTTTATTTTAAAAATTTGAATTCAAATGCATTTTGAGTTGGCTTATGTTTCCAACCCCTTCTTCAGTGCTGTTAAAAATTATACAGATTGTAATAAAGGACATGACATTATTTAAATATTACGTAAAAAGATTTCTACAATACAAAACTTACGTCTCATATAATGGTACATATTAAAAAACTATTTCTATATTTTTATCTTCCATAGGTGTATATCTTTAATATGTACAGTACCATTATATGAGACGTAAGTTTTGTATTGTAGAAATCTTTTTACGTAATATTTAAATAATGTTGTGTCCTTTATTACAATTTGTATAATTTTTAACAGCACTGAAACATAAGCCAACCCAAAATGCATTTGAATTCAAATTTTTAAAATAAAACTGTAATTTTCTAACCAAAATGCTGTAAGATCGTCTACCAAGAAAAATTCTTTGGATTAAAAGGACGTTATACATAAAAATTGAATAAACAGCAACCATACTATATTAAGACTATAACACGTTATTGGCAGCTTGGAAAGCATTCTTAGATCTGGATTTCATATGAAGTTTGGGTAAAAAATATGGAAGCAAGCAGAGAAATTACCAAACATACATTTACCTATTTTGCATTTTTGTATATATATTTTATTTTATTTCCATTTTTATCATTGTTTGTATTTAGTCTATGGTTTTTGTTATCTGTTCAGTTCATTTATGTATTTTTAGATATTTTTAGTTGTTCATATTCATTTATGTGCTTTTTGGTGTTTTAATCATTGCATATTTTTTCATTAGCATATTATTTAAAAATCCTGGCATTCTCTCATTTTGAATTTTTTTTCTAGAAGTATAATATTTAATTATATTCATCAGAAATATATTTGTTTCTTCATTTTGAATGAAAACAGTCATTTGATTGCCACATTATTCTGAAGAATGTTAATAAAAAACCAGCCAAAAATGTTTTGAAAATTAAAAATATCACTGCATTCTAAGATTTCTATCATGGTTTGGTTATTTAATACTGGTACAGTAAGTAACATCAGTTGTCTCCTGCTGAAACTCCAATTATGTAAAATAATGGTTAATCTAAAGGTTAGCTCATGCTGACTGTGAATAATGAAAATGAATAAGAAATCTAAAAGTGATTTTAATTTGCTTAGCAAAATTGATTCTTAGTACAAAATATAGAAAGTGAAAATTTTCAATATGTTGATCTGGCAGAGCAATTTGTTAAACAGGAAAATCTATCTTATATCAGAAATGACATCACATGTTGCATACTATTCACTGCATTTTGCATTTTCTGGCAATTTGCTGTTACTGCAGATTAACCTGAAGTGAATAAATAATTTACTTTTTTCCTTTCTTTAATTAATATTCGCTTTAAACTTTTCTACTTTATTGCATAATTGAGAAGAAAACGTCGTAGAATACTAAAAAATATGACGTGTAAGTGCAAAATTATATGAATGAAAAACACATAACTGAAGTGTTTTACAATAAAGAAATACTCTGCAGAAAATATTTAACATATGTGAAAAATGTACAGCTGAGAAATGTAGAAATGGTGTTTGACTATACTAAAAATATTTCTTGAGCATACAACAATGACTCTAGTTTTTTATTATTTTTTTTCTAACATATATATTTAATCTAATATTTTTATTATTTTTGTTTTTAAGAGACACTGCTAGTGAAACTGTGAGAACCCTTTTAGCTTATGGTTATGTTTTGGAACCACCTTCTGGTGATAATGCTGAAGGTATTTCAATATTTAATAATGTTTTTAATTAATTTAATAATTTATTACTTTAATAATGTTTTTCTATTTAATTAAACTTAAAAATGAATATATTTTAAATTATTTAATACATTAATGTTTTACATCTACAGATTTAAATTTATCATGTTAAAATTAACATATAATGTAAATATCTTAAATTCTGTTAAATAATTTTTAAACTTTCTTTACTTTTGGACATTAATATATTTTTAGTTTAAAGTGACAAAAATTTTATAAATTATAAATACAAGAAAAATTTTAACATGAATTTCAATGAAATTCATAAATTGATAAATTTTTATCTTATTAAAAATACTATTTGAAATTGTTGTCTAGTAGTATAGTATGGATTATTTATTATTTAGGTACTCAAAATATCCAAATACTTTGCAAGTTTTTAAATTGATTTTTCAGAAAATTATATTTATCAAATTTAGATTTTAATCTTATTTTTATTTATTTACTTTAAGATATATTATGGTATTAACTATATGATAATATAAAAAAAAAATACAGTGTAGGGCCATTAAGCTGTGGTGATTGGGGTTCAAACTGCTTAACCATGGCTTAAATATTTTTTGATAATGCATAAATTACAATAAATACTGAAAAATAAATGTTTTTTGATTAACAGTCTTGAAATTAATAATAAATTATTATTTAAGAATAACAAAACATATCAAATGCATTTAAAACATTTTATTTCACATGTTTTCATAAAAATTACTAAATATTTATTCGTAACATTGCATGGCACAATACAGCACTGTATTAAAATACAGGTAGCCCTCTGTTTACGCCGGCTCAATTTACGCCGATTCACAATAACGCCGCTACTCAATTTGCCAGTTTTGCGGTGTAATTCCCCAATTTTCCCTACGCCAGACTGATTTTCATTTCAGTGTTGACGTATTTGCCGAGCCGCGACATTGTACATTCATTAAAACAAAGATTTTTATTGAATATATTTAGTTTTTCTGTTTAATATTATTGGGTATGTATACATTTGCATTAAATTAATATTAAAACACTAAATGTTTAGGTACCCATGAGTCAAGTTATCAAACTTAATAATCCAATAAATGGCGTCCAAATCCATAGCGCCAATGAATGTATCCTGTATCAGTTCGTTTAGGAAAACACCTTACGACACAGTAGCAGTTCCGGCGATCACAAACTACCGTTAGTGAGACAAATCTACTTCCTGTTGGCCAGACGATACTTTTTTATTAGCTAGATGATATCTATTTCTCCTTATCCATCTTCAATTTTCCCGCTCAAACTGACCTTATACATGCGCTACGGTGACCAGTGGTCGACCAATCAGTGTCTCCGCTCATCCATAGCTCTACATCGGGTTAACGTATCCTTTCAACTATGGAAAGTTTGACAGATGAACTTTGTGAGTTAGACAATGATTGGGAGCGAAGTGCAAATGTAAAAAGAAGCATCATCGCATTTATTTGACCATATTCTGAAATTCTCAATGAAAGAAAACAAAAATGTAAACAATTAAAGATGGATACTTTTTTCCGAAAAAATGTAAGAGATTCGAAACTAAAATTTTTTAATAAAAACATTTCACTTTATTTTATGATAAAATACATTTTAAAAATAAAAAATGTTTATGTATTTTGTATTATATTGTATTAATAAACAAAATTATTTGCTTATTTTTCACTTATGTAGAACCTAACCCTATACCTCACTGTAAATATGGGTTCATTTTACGCCGATTCGATTTGTGCTGGCTTTTGTAGGAACGGAACTACAGCTTAAACCGAGGGCTACCTGTACTGTCAGACCTTCTTGAAAGAGGCCTGATTAGGGTGCAGAGCTGGTGCAGCCATAATGTCTTAAGCATCAGTTCCAAAAAACTGGTTTTGATCCCTTTATTCACAGGAGAGCTTTAAAGGGTTGTTCTGTGATAAAAGGATGTCATTTTCTTCCTTGGTTAAGTATCTTTGACTCTAGCCTGTTATGGATTTTACATCTTGATGTTACAAGACCAGGCATATCTTCCGGTTATATAGAGTTACTCTTGGGGTCTACAACCACCTGTCCTCTTTTGGATTTTTACTATGGTGCTGTAAAGTACTATATTATTTTTCCGACTTTTCCAACGATTATCGACACAACA